TTCAATTGCCATCTCAGCGCGCCCCAGGGGTGGAGCCGGCACAGCAGGCCCAGGGATCAAACCCCTGGCCCCTGCGCCTGCTTGCACGCACTTTAATCTGCTGAGCTATTTGGCCAGCCCTTATAATACTCTTAGTTGGGTTCTTTTCTGCTTTTGGTATCAGGGTAATGCTTGCTTTCTGGAATAAATGTGGGAGTATTGTTTTCCTTTCAGTTTCATTAAAGTGTTTGAAAAGTAGTGGTGTTAGGTCTTCTCTAAATTTCTTGTAAAGTATACCAGTGAATCCTTTAGGGCCTTGGCTTTTCTTTGTTGGCAGATTTTTACTTTTTTTTTCCCCCTGGCTTAGTACTGAGGAGGGGATGCAAGGCCTCATGAATGCTAGGCAAGAGGTCTTGACACTGAGCTTTTTCTTTTTTTTCCCAGAACCAGGGATTGAACTCAGGCCCTCGCGCTTGCCAGGCAAGCCCTTATTTTACTGAGCTATCTTCCCAGCCTACTGAGCTATCTCCCCAGCTGGTAGGTTTTTAATAACATCCTTGATTTAATTGATGGATACTGGTTTATTTAGATTTTTTCTTTCTTCTTGATTTAGCTTTGGTAATTCATGTGTATATAGGAATCTTATCAATTTTGTCTGCATTTTCCATCTTAATAGAATATAAGTTTTGAAAGTAGGTATAGATGTTCTAAATTTCTGTGGGATTCGTTGTGATTTCACCGTTGTCATTCCTAATTATGTAGATTTTGTTTGCTTGTTTGTCTTTTTCTGTATTTAGGGCAGGGTCTGCAGGGTCTCACTACATAGATCAGACTTGTAATGATCCTCCTGTTTATAGCCTCTCAAGTGCTGGGATTACATGCATGTGCCATCATGCCCAGTCTCAATTGCTGTCTTAGAGTGCCCTGTGGGTGGGGCTGGCACAGCATGCTGGGAATCAAACACTGGCCACTACACTCTGCCTGAGCAGGTGCTTTAGTCCACTGAGCTATCAGGCCGGCCTTTTATTGTTTTGCTATATCAGGCTGTGTTGAGGGCGAGTCTGGTGCAGCTTATGGAGCTGGGGAGCGAACCGCGGTCCCCTACACCTGACTGAGTTTGCCCAAGCATGCTCTTTTAAGAACTGAGCTAACCTGGAAGCCCCCTAATTATGTAAATTTGTGTCTTTTTTCTTAAGGTCGGCTAAGGGTTTGTCAATTTTATTTACTCTGCATTGCTTTTTTTTTTTTTTTTTATTCTGATTAATTTTTCACCCTCAGAAAGACCTCTCCCTCAATTCTGTTTGTGTCCTGCAGGAATCTTTCTCTGGGAGGCCTAGGGGTCAGTGTCTCTGAGCAGTGCTTGAGCAGATGGGGGCAGAGATGGCATCATCTTCCTGCCAACTTCCTCATCGCCTCTCCTTCAAAACGGAAGGCATGCCAGCCCTCCGCCTGGGTCACATCTTGGGCTCCTAGGGCCTTGTACAAATCCATAGCCTTCTTGTTCCACTCCAGAACTTCCAGGCGGAACTGGGAGCAACCCTGATCCAGGGCCACCTGTGGGAGAAGATAACACTCACTGTCCTGGGGTCAAAAATGAAGACTTCCCTACTCCCCCTTCAACCAGGTGCTCTCATACATCCTTGGCCTTTTTGGACCTCAATTGTAGATGCCCTTTCTCAGCTCACCTCAGCCACCTTTTTGATTATTTTGGAACCAATCCCTTGACCTATTGTAGGAGAAAGAAGCAAAAAGAACTGTTGTTTAAGTTGAAGGCAGTCAGAAAAGGCCATGGGCTGTGATCAGGGAGAGGGGAGGATGGGGACCTATGGAATTGCTCCACCATTGTGTCCACCTTGGCCTCAACTCCTGCCCAGTAGTACCCCGATACTCCGGCATCACATAGATGTCCTCCAGATAAATGTTACGACCCTTCCAAGTGCTGTAGATGAAGTAGTATAGTCCGTAGCCCACAATGCAAGGCCCTTGTCGCTCACCAGGTGCTGGAATAATCTCTGCTACAAAACAGTGATAGAAAGGATTCTCTCCAAAGCCATCTGCTCTCAGGACTTCTTCACTGATCTTCACCTGATCCGAGAGTTTCTCGAACTCTGCCAGTTCCCGAATGAGTCTCAGAATGTCTCCGCAGTCTCCTCTGCATTGCTTTTTTAATCTTCAGTGTGTTAATTTCTGCTGTGATTTTATCTTTTTTTTTTAAAAAAATAAAAAACAAATGATACAGAATTTCACTCAAGAAGATGGTAGGTATTCAGCAGTGGTTGTCAGGGCCAGCAAGATAGCTCAGCGGACTTAAGCTCCTGCTTAGGCAAGTCCAGCGACCAGGGTTCAATCCCCAGCATCACATGCCCCACTGGCCCTACATGTCCCACCAGCACTGCCCCCTGGTGCACTGAGCCAGCCACCAAGACCAGGCATGGTGGTGCCACACCTATAATCCCCTAGTGCTGGGGAGGCTGAAAACAGGATCACTGTAAGTCTAAGCTGCTTCGTGAGACGCTGTACCAAGTAAATTTTAAAAAAGAACAGTGGTTGTCATATTGCATATGTTCGTCTTCAAATTACTTTTTCAGAACACCAGATATAAGCATGCAAAATTGGTCAAAAACATAATTAAGCATTAACTGTTCCTTTCCATATATCAATAAAAAATCCAAGGCACATTTATCCCAGCTATCCTGTGTTTATATATATATATATATTTTTTTCCCCCTCCTTTTTCTTTTGTTCTTTTCCTCATCCCAGTTGTTCCTTCCCTTTGAGCAATTTCTATTTGACTGTGTCTATTGTACCTTTCAGATTTTGTTTACTCTTTCAGGTTCTTACAGTAGGAAGACAATACGATGTTTGCTCGTGCAGGGTCTGGCTTATTTCACTTATGAGTATGGTCTCTAGTTGCATCCATTTCCCTGTGAAAGCCTCAAGTTTATCTTTGTTACAGCTGAGTATTAGTCCATTATATAAAAATACCACATCTTTTTTGATCCATTCCTTAGTCAATGGGTATTTGTGTTGTTTCCAAGATTTAACCTTCCAAATTGCACTGCTATAAACATGGGTGCACATATATTGCTGTGGTATGAGGTTTTCAGGCCTTGGAAAAATACCCAGAAAGGGAATAGCAGGGTTGAATGGGACCTCTAGTCTTAATTTTTTGCAGAATCTCCGCACTGATTTCCATAGCAGTTGTACCAGTTGGAACTCTGCTCTGGTCTTTCTAATTTCCTTCTCTGTAGGAGCTTTTGACTTAGCTTGCTCTGCTCTTCTTTTTCTAGAAGGTTGAGATTATTTTTTTGCACTCACTGTGATTTCCTGATATGGGTATTCACTGCTATAACTTCCCTTTTAGGACTGCTTTCATAGTGTTCCATAAGTACTGCTGTGTTGTATTGTTAAAACTGTAATTCTTTAGTTTCATCTGTGACTCTTTGATTGTTCAGGAGGATACTGTTAAATTTCCATGTGTTTATGAAGTTTTTGGGATTTCTTTTGCCATTGATTTCCAGTTTCATCACACCATGGTCTGATAAAATGCATGAGATAAGTTAAGTTCCTTTGCATTGACTTAAGCATATTCAATGAGCCAGTATGTTTTCTACTTTGAAGAATGTCTGATGTGCAGCTGAGGGAATCTGTATTCTGATGATGTTGGTGGAACACTCTAAACATCTATTTAGTCCATTTGTTCAAAAGTTTTGTTCAGTTCATTATTGATTATTTTTGTGCTATTGATTTGAC